TATTGTTGTTTGGCGGGCCTGGGCTGGATTCGAACCCGCCACCTTAGGTGTATGTGGCTGGCGCCTTAGCCGCTTGAGCCACAGGCGCCAAGCCAAGGTATTAAGTCTTAAGTGCATTCACTTGGAGTGACACAACTGAGGCAGGACCAGAGACATCAAACAAGCCAGGGAGGGCAGAGCTGCCAGGACTGTGGCGTCTGACAGCAGGATATCTGTATCAAGAATCAGATGCATTAGAACTGGAGTTGTTCTCCCCATGGCACTTGTTACACTCTTATTTTAGTTGAATTGCTGCACAAAACAACAGATGAAGGACTGTGAAATGACCCACGTAGGAAAAATCAGTTAATAAGATTTGGTTAAAAAAAAAAAAAAGAAAAAAAGGTCGGGGAGGTTAAAGGAAACACAGCCTGCCGAGAAACTAGGCTAGAGACAGGAGGGAGGGTTCAAGGACACAGATACTGAAAACAGACTGGACAGGGTGGGGACTGTGGACGCAGATGCCTCTGGGACAAAGTATGTACCACAGATAAGTGACTCTTGACCAGGTGGACGCCTTGGACAGAGCCAGCCTTGGGGCAGGATAGAAAGCACATGCCATGTCCATAGCAGACAAGTGTTCCTTGGATGCAGCCAACTGTTGCCAGATGGGAAAGTAGGCCTACTCTTGTAAGACTGCTGCCTTTGCTTTCTGTCTTTCTTTGGCCACTGCACTGTCCAAACAGGACATATGTGTAATCTTGAAACCAGACAGTAGTGAGCAATTTTTTGTGTTCATTGGAAGTGGCACAAAAACATAGGGAAACCTGCAGCCAAAGGATACGAGCTAGAAGTTAGGAAAAGATTTCTCTTTGAAAAGCTGGAGACCCAGGAACATGTCATCCAGGGAGGCTGCAAGAGCTACAGGAAGGTTTAAAATAGTTGTCTGTATCAGTGGACCCGGTTTCGGACTCTCTGGAGGGAAGAGAGCAAGTACTTTTTGCTAGGAGTTCTCAAATAATTCAAGCATCCTCCTGAAACAGCCAGGACTTGACCAGGATGCCAGTGTCAGGAAGCAAAAGGGTAAAGCTATGGGCATGAAGTTTATGGAAACTTAGGACCAGGTGTTCTTGAAAGGAAGACAGGCTCGGTGCCTGTGGCTCAAGTGGCTGAGGTGCCAGCCACATACACCTGAGCTGGCGGGTTCGAATCCAGCCCGGGCACACCAAACAACAATGAGGGCTGCAACCAAAAAATGGCTGGGCATTGTGGTGGGTGCCTGTGGTCCCAGCTACTCGGGAGCCTGAGGCAGGAGAATCGCTTGAGCCCGGGAGTTGGAGGTTGCCGTGAGCTGTGATGCCACAACACTCTACTCAGGGTGACAGCTTAAGGCTCTGTCTAAAAAAAAAAAAAAAGAAAGGAAGACAGATGATAAAGAATCAAGAAGTTAAAAGCTATACTGTGCTGCCTTGCAAATTCACAGTTCCTGTGAATGAACAAAGGAGCAAAACTAAAACTCTACAAGTTCAAGTTAGCCTGCTATAACCCATGCAGGCACAAGGTTCAAGTTAGCCCGCTATAAACCA